ACCCCTCCTCACACACACCCCCCCTCACACACACCCCTCCTCACCCTCTAACGTCCAGCTCCTCTGCTCTTCCTGTTATTTTTTCAGATGGCCAATTTAGCTCACAGAGCTTCTCAGTTTGTGGAGAAGAAGTTTTTGATCATTCATCCGACCGCTGACGGTGAGTCCACGGAAGTCTTCATGGAGCTGGGGGGGTTGGGGGGGGGGTAAAGGGACTTATTCACAGTTCTTTGTGTGTGTGTTTGATCTTTTCTACACAGAGAAAGTGCATTTCCAACATTCAGCCAAATTCATCTCACAACTCATCAACGAAAAGGCCAACTATACCTTACAGGTACGTGCCGTCCTCGGAATTAAAGCTACGGTTCGGGGGCCGTTATTCATACCTTTTCTCGTCGCTTGGTCATTGGGTCGGATGTTTCCAATCTTCTCCATCCTGTGTGTTCCTCAGATCTACCCAGATGAAGGCCACTTCATCCAGAGTGAGGCCACCAGGCAGCACCTCACCCAGTCTCTGGTCAACTTCTTCGAGGAGTGCTTCAGGCTACCGGAGAGAGTGTTTGAGGAGGTTCTGGAGGAGGAGAGTGAAGATGAGGGTTAGCTCCACCCACCCGCCGCGTCCTGATGCTCCTCCATCCGTGCAGTCATCCACCACGACACCTGGACCCACCCGATCTTGTCAATATGCAACTGATACATGAACCCATCTGACCAACCTTCTCCAGGGCGTCTTCACAGTCCGGACATGATGTTTTGGAACTTCTCCACAGCAGCTCCTCAGAAAGATGTGCAGAGAAAGGAACTTCAGGATCTCTCACAGACAATGAAGCCGTGAGCAGGAGGAGGAGGAGAAACTCTGGAGATCAGACCTCCACAAATCAGGTGCTTGCTGAAGAAAATTGAAGAATCGCGTGAATACTGTGAGGATTTTGGAACGTTGAAGAACTCTTTTTGTGTAAAATAGCAAACACTGTACCTTGGTTGGACTCAGATCGTCTGCTTCTCTTTTCATCTCCGTTTCTTCATCTTCATTAAAGAGACGAGCAGACAGACACTCTGTTACCGTTTGTTTGTGCCTGTGCCTTATGTTGTCAGACAAACCCAACATCCGTGGAGCAGCAGACTCTTGTTTGGAGAAACTCTGAAGAATGTCACCGTCATCGCTGTTGGAAAAACAAAGGTTCAGTTTAAGTTCAGTTGTATTTATTACAGGTTTGTTTTTTTTTGTCTTCAACAGGACTGGGCTTTTCTCTATGAAGTTGGATAAGCATGTTTTTAAAGTAACCCACACTAACCACTAAAGGTCAGTACGTCATACACAGTGTATAAAGACTGAGGCAGAGCCTGTTCAGCTTTGCATGAACACAGAAACAGTCGCAGGTCGTATGGACTGACCGGTGACTCTGAGGTAACTGTTGCTGTTCATCGACGCTCTGACGTCAAACGTCTGTGACGTCAGTGTGTGTGTCCATTTGTCCCTTAAATCAAATGACTGTGTTTGAATGAAAAACTCACTATGTGTCCATTTGTCCCTTAAATCAAATGTAGTGATTTTTGACTCGTGTATTTATGCACCAAGTGTTCAGTGAGCCAAACTTTTACCTTGACTTGTTGGCTGGTTTAATATAACAAATTAAAACTTTTCTATTAATATTTATGGAAGAGAAGTTGCGTCGTCTCACCCTGGAGGTCAACAGCTCCTCAAAAAGGCTGTGAAAACTTTCCTACAGTGACAGTAGTGACGACAGGCATTACACACTACTCTACTCTGTGGTGTTTACCTGATGAATTTGACTAAAAGTTAACATTAGCAAAAAACTAAGCGTATTATTGATCATGAGGTAAATTCTACAGACCTTTTTTGCTCCATTGGCCGGTTTCATGTTAGACAACATTCTCAGGGACCGGTCGTTGACTTGAAAAGAGAAAAGAGAAGGGATGGAAAACAAATGTTAAGGTCATGAATGAAAATATTGTCTGGTACCAAACGACCCAGAACCAGCCAGAGATCCAGAAGTTAGGAACCTTTACTGTACAGAATCCAAATCAAATTAAGCTTAAAAACAGTGAGTGGAAATTAATGAAGTTAACTTTTGGATGAATTTGGCAAATGTACTGTGAGGTCTGTAAACAGACAGAGAATGTCCCGAATGACAGAGAATGTCCCGAACGAAACAGTGTGAAATCCCGAGAAATAGCTTTGTGTTTCTTTTTTGTCATTTTCTTTGTTAGAATTTGTGCATGTTGCAGAATCAGTTCCATGTGGTACTGTTGACATCAAGCTCCTCTGAGCATCGACTCATCTCCGGTGGTGTTGTGATTGAGAAGGTCAGTCTTGTCAGTTTAATGTGTAAATGTTATCCAAATGTCATTTTAGTAGGAAAAGCTGTATTTACCTGAGTGTTGTTTGTGTACAAAGCATTTAAAGGTTCATTTTCTTCTTGTTTGTCTTTGACTGGTTTTAAATCGTAAACTTTAATAATGATTTTAAAAAATGGCATAAATGGACTTACCCGTGGGCGAGGGCCTTCACAGATGTTTCCCTTGTTTTCCAAACCGCGGAATATTCTTGACAGACTGTGGCATGAAGGGATGTGTTAGAATAAAGAACAATACAGTATTTTATCAAATGTTCTCTGTTTTTGACTCCTGTTTTAGCCTCTACAATATCATTTTTGATTTTGCACTTTTTAGGCACATTTTAAGGTAAAGACTTGTATTTTAAAACTTTTTTTTTTTGACCAAAAATGACATGGAAATTTCACATTTTGACAGAAAATATTATTAAGAAAAACTCTAACTAAAAATTGTATCTTAATGCCCTAATTGTCTGAGAAACATGCAGGAAAACATCCAATTTTAATAAGTAATTTTGCAAAATTTTTGTCAAAATCTTTTAGTTTTTGACCAAAAATGATATGGAAATTTCACATTTTGATGAAATTTTTTTTCTAAAAATATTTTCTTAATGACAATTTTATGAGAAACGTAGGAAAAGATACAAATTGAATTTGATTTTGATTTTTTTTAATATTCATATAAAACGTTTTTTTTGAGTTTTAAACAAAATATTTACTTGGCAGCATGTTTTAGGACCTAATCTTGATTTTTAAGGCATTTCGGGGACTTTATTTTTACGGATTTTTTCACGGTGGTAAGGCTATAGTAAGGCGTGTTTTGGGTGATTTTTGAAATATTCATATAAAATACTTTTTGTACTTTTAAACACAAAATATTCACTTGGCAGCATGTTTTAGGACATAATCTTGCATTTTAGTGCATTTCGGGGACTTTTTATTTTTTGAGATTTTTTCACGATGGTAAGGCTATAGTAAGGCGTGTTTTGGGTGATTTTTGAAATATTCATAAAAAATACTTTTTGGACTTTTAAACACAAAATATTCACTTGGCAGCATGTTTTAGGACATAATCTTGCATTTTAGTGCATTTCGGGGACTTTTAATTTTTTGAGATTTTTTCACGATGGTAAGGCTATAGTAAGGCGTGTTTTGGGTGATTTTTGAAATATTCATAAAAAATACTTTTTGGACTTTAAAACACAAAATATTCACTTGGCAGCATGTTTTAGGACATAATCTTGCATTTTAGTGCATTTCGGGGACTTTTTATTTTTTGAGATTTTTTCACGATGGTAAGGCTATAGTAAGGCGCGTTTTGGGTGATTTTTGAAATATTCATATAAAATATTTTTTGGACTTTTAAACACAAAATATTCACTTGGCAGCATGTTTTAGGACATAATCTTGCATTTTAGTGCATTTCGGGGACTTTTTATTTTTTTGGATTTTTTCACGATGGTAAGGCTATAGTAAGGCGTGTTTTGGGTGATTTTTGAAATATTCATATAAAATATTTTTTGGACTTTTAAACACAAAATATTCACTTGGCAGCATGTTTTAGGACATAATCTTGCATTTTAGTGCATTTCGGGGACTTTTTATTTTTTTGGATTTTTTCACGATGGTAAGGCTATAGTAAGGCGTGTTTTGGGTGATTTTTGAAATATTCATATAAAATATTTTTGGACTTTAAAACACAAAATATTCACTTGGCAGCATGTTTTAGGACATAATCTTGCATTTTAGTGCATTTCGGGGACTTTTTATTTTTTTGGATTTTTTCACGATGGTAAGGCTATAGTAAGGCGTGTTTTGGGTGATTTTTGAAATATTCATATAAAATATTTTTGGACTTTAAAACACAAAATATTCACTTGGCAGCATGTTTTAGGACATAATCTTGCATTTTAGTGCATTTCGGGGACTTTTTATTTTTTTGGATTTTTTCACGATGGTAAGGCTATAGTAAGGCGTGTTTTGGGTGATTTTTGAAATATTCATATAAAATATTTTTGGACTTTAAAACACAAAATATTCACTTGGCAGCATGTTTTAGGACATAATCTTGCATTTTAGTGCATTTCGGGGACTTTTTATTTTTTTGGATTTTTTCACGATGGTAAGGCTATAGTAAGGCGTGTTTTGGGTGATTTTTGAAATATTCATATAAAATATTTTTGGACTTTAAAACACAAAATATTCACTTGGCAGCATGTTTTAGGACATAATCTTGCATTTTAGTGCATTTCGGGGACTTTTTATTTTTTTGGATTTTTTCACGATGGTAAGGCTATAGTAAGGCGTGTTTTGGGTGATTTTTGAAATATTCATATAAAATATTTTTGGACTTTAAAACACAAAATATTCACTTGGCAGCATGTTTTAGGACATAATCTTGCATTTTAGTGCATTTCGGGGACTTTTTATTTTTTTGGATTTTTTCACGATGGTAAGGCTATAGTAAGGC